CTATTATTCACTACAGTACCGTTGCCTTCCCACTAATTATTTCCGAGACATTCTTCGTCACAAGACAATCTTAGACTACCGATACGGAATACCGAAAAATACGGCCGTAGTACGGTACGGTCCGCGCTCTACTCATCATGATGGGTCAAGTAGGTGGATTTATTGGGTAAATTTGATTTTTGCCTTTGAGATTGATCCATAATATCAGTCTCTCGTTACTTTGGTCTGCTCCAATTACAAATTGTTAGCTAGTATTAAAGACGCAGCTGCCAGTTAGTCAGTCTTAGTCCGTAGTCAAGCTAGTATTCTACTGCAGCGCATAATCTCGCCTATTCTATTGTATTATTGCCTTCGTTATAAACCTTTTTGTCAGTCAAGTCTTTCGGTTGGTATCGGACACACCGCTAGTCGATACATAACACAGATTCAGCCTAAGCATGGCTTGGCTTAGAAAAAAATCAAGCTTATCAGATGAAGCGCACTTGCCGATTCATTAAATTAACACATATTTCTACATAACTTTATAAATTAATAAATACTTTCAAAAATAAATTAAATTTTTGTTGATTTAATGCTTTTAGGATACCCATTTTTGGGATAAAATTGGGTAGAAATCAGACCGAAATGAGAAGAAATTGGACTGAAAAGATAGGCTTTTAAAAATCTTTGGATTTTTTCCAAATTATACCTTTTTCCCAAAGTTCAAAAATAATTTAGCCTGACGGTCGTTCTTCGGACTGAAAAGTCTGACCCTTTAAACATTGACCTAAAACTGTCAACAATCAAATATCTTTAACCTCGAAAAGATCGAACTAAAACGAAATCTCGTCCATAAATCTTAGCTATTTAGAGACATCTTTGTTCTGATTTAGTACCAACTCTTAATTAGTTTTGCTACCCTAACAAGTATATAAAATTTAACCTAAGCATTGCTTGGCTTACAAAAAATTATGAAAATGTTCCCAATCGAATTCACTTGCTGGTAAATTAATTTAACACTTATAGCTAAATGTATAAAAAAATAAATATTTTTAAAAGATGTAGGTCCCTAAAAATGTAAAACAATGGGAAGGTGAGTCTCAAAATTATGAACAGGCAATTGCATAGCGAACATGTACACTCTAACAGAGTTTAACTGTTCAAATTGCTTAATATTTTTTAATTAATTAATTTAATTATATATATATATGGGTATTTCGATTTGGTCAATTTACAGGATGTCATGAACGTTTCTTTTATTTTTTGGATGCTGGAACTTCCTCCAGCAAGTAAATACTAAAATTAAAAAAATTCAGTTCCTTTTAATTAAGCCATTTTTAATAAATTTTTTAAAAATGACTTCTTATTTTATTCTCCATTTTTATGCATAAACAATTGGGGCTTCACACGCCATTAAATTTTACTTGAAAATATTTTTTGTCTATTCATTTTTAGAGTTTTGTTTAGTTAAGGGGGATTAGCTTAGTTAACTATTAGACACGATGAAAGTCTTTAGCTTTAACAGATCTGTTGAAATTTGTGAAAGGTTTTTTAAACAAAAAGTAGTCAAAACTGTGGGCACTTTTGTTTGTTAAAAGTAAAAAAATTCAAATTATTTTTACGTCATTATTTTTTGTTTGAAAAATAATTTTTAATTAATTTATGGATTTTACATAATATTTATTATTTCAAAATTAGTTGAATATAGTTATTTAAATGGTCATACGACACTTGCAGATATGACATTTGCAGACCCGACATTTGCAGACGACTTTTGCAGATCGACATTTGCAGATACCGACACTTGCAGATATGACACTTGCAGATCAGACATTTGCAGATCCGACTTTTGCAGATATTAATTTTTGAAAAAAACTTTAAATCTTAAAAAAATTTTAAAATCTTAAAAAATCAAAGGATATAGTAAAATGATATAAGACACATACCAATTCGTCTCGACGAGCTGAGTCGAACGGCACCACTCTTTTTTCCGGAGATTCTCTTTTTTCCGGAGGTTCAAAATGTTCAACGTAGACCTATGGAGCGTCGGCGAGGCGCTTGTGCGGCACGGCCCTCGCGGGGAGTCAACGGTCGCTGGGCTCTGGGCTCGTAACATGATCCTATTCCTATCATCGATAAGATCGGCATCCCAAAATTCCTCCGCAGCAGCAAACACTCCAAGGTGTATAGGTAAGGCAAAAAAGAAAGCGAAATGGGTATAATCTGCAAAAGTCGAATCTGCAAATGTCTGATCTGCAAGTGTCATATCTGCAAGTGTCGGGATCTGCAAATGTCGGGTCTGCAAAAGTCGGGTCTGCAAGTGTCGGGTCTGCAAATGTCATATCTGCAAGTGTCGTGACACGATTTAAATATCATTCCCTTAAATTGCCAACCGTAGTTTTATTTGCTTTATAATTGCATGGCTGATTAACTCAGTCAAAATTATCCTTTCTCTTTGATTTTTTGTTGATTCTTCCCGATCCTCTCGAACCATTATATTCTACATCCAAAATTTTACTAGCTCACTATAATTTAACGTTGATCATCTCTATAAGAGACGCTGATTACTAGATGTACCTCTTCTTGGGCTTTTCTATTTTATACTTATCGTTTAACAACTTTGGATGGGAGAGGGCCCTCATTCTCATTAGAAGCCCTTCATCCTTTAAATTCAATTTTTAATTGTTAACTACTAGGGCTTGTGAGGATGGAGGTTTCTAAGTGATGGACTCTATTTAAACATAAGTAATAGTTTAGAAAAAGTGTAGTCAAGGCAGGATTCCTAAGGCTTTAAATGCAGCCAGTTAAGTAGTAATTAATTAACATTGATCTAGGCGTTGCTTGACTTCCAAAAAATTAGATAACATTGTAAGACACAACCCAAAATTTCATTAAATTAGTAAGGCTTATATGAATCGAAAAAATAAACAAATTTATATTTTTGTTGTATTTGGTAGGCAATAAGGACAATATTTTCAGCTTCGTGAAAAGTCAACCACTATACATAATATGCTTGAATACAAAATTGTTTCTTTAAATTTCTATCCTTTAAGAATATTTTTGAGGATTTGTTGCGTCTTTTGTATTATTTTTGGATGACTGATTATCAGTCAGAAATATGGCTTAACTATTCAATTTGTGTCAAATTTTCAAATTCTATCACTTATACATATCATATAGTAGTTTGCATAATATTAATTAATAAAAATGTATTATTTAAAATTCGATCCTTTCAAATAATTTTTTATGTTCGCCAATTTCAAATTAAACCAGTTCTATTTTTGTATGGCTGATCAAACAGTCAAAAATATCGGTATATCCCATCGTGTTAAAAACACCGATCCAACATGATCTAAGCCTATACACACTAACATCTTAGAACTTTAGTTATAATTCAAAATTCCGATTTTAGTTGGAATATCCAACTTACAAAAATGAATGATGAAAAAGCGTAAATAGGCCAAATAATCTTAATATTTTTTGACATTTAACTAGTTAAATTTCAATTATAATATATTTCACAAAATTCACTTCATTATTGAATTCACTCCTTTAATTATTCACTGTTTTGGGTCGAAATAATGAGTCTATATTGGACCTATTCGAACCTAAAAAACCTATTTCGGCCTTTTTGGACCTAAAACCTATTTGCAACCTATTTCGGCATTTTTTGAACCTATTCTAGGTTTTTTGAAAAAAATCTTAAAAATCGCCTTTATTTTCGCAAATATTTGAGAATTTGTCATTTTTTTCACTAAATCTCTGGTTTTTTTATAAAAAAATTTTTAATTTTGATATTTAATTATCTTTTTTAACCAATTATCGGTAAAAATTGCTTTGTGGACAAAGACTCATATTTATATCGATATTTATGTTATTCAAAATAGCTCTCAAATGTGTGGCTAGTTTGAAAGAGCTCGCCGAGATAAGTCGAATAACACCAAAACCAACGCGATCTGACTTCATAGGGCCGAGTTACATGGACCCAAATATCGTACAAACATACGGGAAAAAAGACAATTTTGAGGTGAAAAATTCGTTTTTTTTATTGATAGCTCATTTGAAAGAGCTTCTCAATCTGAGTTGATTAACACCAAAATCAGCGCAATCTGACTTGATAAGGCCGAATTACGGGCCGTGAAACTTGAAAAACCATAAATTTAAAACACAAAATTGAAAAAAAACTCTAACAATACAAACTATTTGTTAAAAATTCGTACCTATTTTGATACTTTTTGCGTTTTTTTCAACCTATTTAAGCCTTTTTTTCGAACCTTTTAGGTACCTATTATCAGGTTTTTTGAACCTAAAAAACTCGCTCTGATTATAATTTATATTTAATACGTTAAATGTCAAAAAATATTATTTGATCTTTGTCATTCATGCGGTCAACATTAATTTTTAGTAAGTTGGATATTCCAACTAAAATCGATATTTTGAATTATAACTTGACTTTAAGATGTTAGTGTATATGGGTCACGCTCGGTTTTGTTTTAACACGATGGGAACTTGATATTTTTGACTGTCCGATAAAAATGAGCCAAAAAAATAAATTGAACGTCGGCCCGTTTCATAAAATCCACCATACTTTTAAACTCATATGTAGGCTGGGGTTAATCAATATAAGAGAGAGGTCAAGCCTGCAACGCCAGCGTTTTTGTATGTCGAATTCTGCATGTGACTAAATTTTTATAAACTTACTACCTATATGCTTTACAATTCTAACAGGTAGATTGGCAGACAGGTATCGGATCAGGAAAAATTTTCAAAGTCGTGTATTTTGACTACTTATGAGATATTATGGTTATAATTAAAAACCAACCTTCGTTTCAATGCTATTTGATAAAAATTTTAATTTTTGAGTTAAAGTTACAATAAAATATCAAAATCATAAAGAGAATAAACGAAAAAGATGATATTTGGGGGAAATTTTAAAACAATTTAAAACAAATTAAAATTTAAAACAATTAAAATTTTTTTTATTTTCGAATGAGATAATAATTTTTATTATCTCCTTCCTTTTCATCCGTTGGTTCTTCATTTGCTTTGTCTCGAACGATAGACCTCCATATCCGCCTCATACCGCTTCATGTCATAAGCAGCCTTTAAAAAATTGAAAAAAATTGAATTTGAACTAATCTTGGACAATTTAGATTTACCTCAAAACCTCCTAAATTTTCCCGAAAATATTAAGATACCTTCTTCTCCCAAACGGACTTCTCGGAAGCAGACAACTTGCCCCATTCCACACCAGCAGCCTTTGCGACGTCAGCGACACTTAAAAAACATAAAAATTTTATTTAAAAACTAGAGCGAACCTCATCCCCGGCTTCTTGATGTTTTCTTGCACCTGTTCTCTCTCATTTTTTGGTCGAAGGTAGACTGGTTCTCTACGTGGACGATTTCTTTGAAAATAATTTAAAAAATAAACCCTCCCTCCCTTCCATTTCCACACCTATCTTCAATTTCACGATCAATTTGATTTAAAAAAGAACTATTTTTTAAAGTTTTAATTACAGCAACCCTTCTGGAACCATTATATCTATCCCAGAAAACGCGAACTCGAGAACCCAGTTTCTCGACTAATTCTAAAGAATTTTTACATTCAAGTTCCTCCATATAATAAAAACAACTGCAGCCCCAGTCTTTCCTTAAAAATTAAAAATAAATTATTTTAAAAGATTTTATTATAGCAGTCATTGATTGGTGTTAAAGAGTTTGATTGCTTCAGAAAGCAACCAACCTTTTTTCGATCCACTCTGTAATTAATAGAAAAATAAAATTTAAAAATTTTAAAAATTTACATTTTTGTAATCATGAGTTGCTAAACTAATTGTTGAAATAAATTTGCAAGAAAAGTCTTTAAGAATTTTAGTCTATCGCTCATATCATATAATAGTTTTCATAATATTAATTAATAGGGTTTCACCGGAAGTTCCGGTTCCGGTTCCGGTTCCGGAAAGTTCCGGTGTTTTTTTGGTTCCGGTTCCGGTTCCGGCTCCGGTTTTCAAATCGGTTCCGGGCAAACCGGAACTTTTTTACACCCCTAAAGATTTATTTTTTTAAAATATTGGGTGGCCTTCCCCGGCTGGACTTGCAATATTCTCAAAATTTTCGCCTGCGGCGCTAAAAAAGGAAGAAATCTAGCTCCTTGTCCTCACAAATTCTCAAAATTTTTGCCTGCGGCGCTAGAAAAGGTAGAAATCTGGCTTCTTATCTTTGCAAATTCTCAAAATTTTCGTCTGCGGCCGCTGTTAAATGAAGTTGAATGGTATATCGTAGGATTTGGATGGATGAAGGTGGATTTAAAGTTACTTCATGTGATTTCAAGGGGTCATAGGTAATATCGAGGGATTTGGGTGTGATATCGAGGGATTGAGCTGTGAAAGGTAGATATCAGGGATAGGATAGCTGGGGATTTGGCATTCTAAAACATGGCATTACTCACTTGGCCTTCCGTAATTCACAGTTATTTTTGATAATTTGCATGGATTAATGGGGATTTGGAAGATACTGGGTGATTTCGTGTACCAAGAGTTAAAATGGTATATCGGTGATTTGATATCTAGGGATCTGGTGGGATGAATGATAATTTGAAGAAATTTGGGGATCAAAGGGGAATCATATAATTGGTGTGGTATCGGGCATATCATGGGATTTGGGTAGAACGGTTTGGTTTTACGGTTCGATTTTGGTTAACCGAAAGTTTCGATTCGGTTAGTCGTTTCGGTTAACAAAATAATTGGGCTAAACCGACAAACCTACTTTGAATTCAAATTTCTTTTAATTTTTTTTTAAATTTTTTAAATTCGCTAGAAATTTTTTTAAAGTTCCGGTTCCGGTTCCGGGCCGGAACTTTGAAAAGTTCCGGTTCCGGTTCCGGGAACCGGAACTCAAATTGGATCCGGTTCCGGTTCTGGTCATAATTTCGGTTCCGGTGAAACCCTAATAACAACCTGGTCTAAATTAACCACCTGAATGGCTTCCAAAAATAAGGAAAAGAAGAAATATTTGCTGCAAAAAAAAAGAATCTGATAAATAAATTAAACTATCTTTTAATAAAATTAAAAACATGGAGTAAATAAAAATTAGGGCTGAAAAAGTCGGGCACTAACCGAAATGAATGCCGCCATCCAATGTTTCCTTTCCTCCTCGAATAGGGTCAAAAAGTTAATTTTTCGGTTGTAGTATTGTATACCGTGGGTAAGGTAACTTTGTCCAAACTTATTCAATCACGGTGATTTTAGTGTCTTTTAATTCAGTTCGACGAGCTCTTTCGAATGAGCTAACATTTATATATTCGAATTTTTTATTCAAAATTCGCCCCTGTAGTTCTTCAATTTTGGGAGGTCTGTATCTCGGCCCAATCTTATCAGATTTCGTTGTCTTGCTGCCATTCGACTCGGTCGAGTAGCTCTTTCGAATGAGCTATCATTCAAAAAATCAAATTTTTCACTCAAAAATTGAGTACTACTTGTTAGTAATAGTCAATACCTTTCTGCTTCGGGATCTACAAGAAAAGCTAGACCATAATACTTCACAAACTGCCACAAAAACAAATACGCCACGGCAGTGGCGTATTTTCAGTTGGATATAAGGTGGATTATTATTATTATAATTTAGACCCTTCAAAGGTTAAAATATTATCTTAAATTGAGGTGAGGCTATAATTAGCCCATCAAGATGAATCGGATGGTATATAATTCCTACTTAGGTTCAACTCCTGCGTACTATATTCACTTCCTTTTTAGCTTCTATATTTAGGTGCCATCTAAATTTTAGCAGAATGTATCTTAAATTGAATTATAGGGGATATCTTATAGCGAGGCCCTTAAACGTTTTTCAAATGTTATTTATCAGTAGACTGTAAAACAAAGTCCACCTTACAGAAAATAAATATGATATATGCTGCTCTAATCTTTTCTTAATATTAATTATTTCAATTTAATTTTATGAATTTATAATCTTTATACATTTGGTAAAGTTTATCACATTTCCGTGTTCTTTATTTTTGGGAGCTTGAACATTCGTTCATAGCTATTTTTTAAATGTATTTTTAATTCTGCAATATTTTTTCAATTCATTTCATGGGACGCATAAATAATTTTTGGGACGCATAGATTGCATAAATTATTTTTGGGACGCATAAATTTTTAAGGGACGCATAAATTCTCTTGGGACGCATAAATCTTCATGATACGCATGAACTTGACAAGAGCGGTTGGATTTTCCAAACAAAAAGAAGAGATACACAGAAATCTTAAAGGGGATAGAGTTGGTTTTATGTGATTTTGATTTCTTTGGAGTTTCAAGTTCTGAGTCGAGTCTCGAGTCCCATACGACGCTCCCAGTCCGGTCTTTACGTAGACTACCAAGTTTTATGTAATGGTTAACTGAAATAAGACATGAACTAATTATTTGCTTTAAAATGTTTAACGTTATTCTTAACCGAATGTTAAATATTAATAAATTTATTTCTATTTTATTAATAAATTATTAAAATATATATGGCACACGTGTTCATTTTTTTCAATTTCCTGTTTTATTTTTGGAAGTTGGATATTCCAACTAATGGGTAGTGGAGAGGAAAAAAGTGAGATCGGTTGTCATGGATTGGTTAGTCACAATTTTAGCTTAATTCTCGTCTTGGACATATTTTCTTGGATTTATTTTCTGCCTTGGTATTGAGAGCCACAATGGGGAAAAGAAGACTATTTTAAATTAGCTTTTTATAGAATAAAGATATGCTCAAACTTTAATTTTATTAATTGTTGTTCATTTATGAAATAAAATATTTATTTTCAATTTTTTTTAAATTTATTTTATTATTTTTTCCTTTTCCTTCCAAGTGCCAAAATGCATACCATAACAGAGAAGTAAAAATAGGCGCCACTACTTAAGAAAAAATGTAAGGGAAGGAAGGAAAAATGCGCATTCTCTCACATCAACCGGACATTTACCGTATACTTCATTCCTTGTTAATTCTTTTCTTCAATTCTAATCTTTTACTCGGCATAAAAAATTGAGATGAATATTTAATTAGCTTGAGATACGTAAGGTTTTAAATTAATCTTAGTTTTATCTACTTTTGAAAAATATGAAATTTAATAATAATGTTTTAATTAGAGAGGATGCACTTGTTTGACAAATGCGAAACTGACGCATCTCGGTGCCTATCATTTTTTGGAAGCCTAATACGCTTAGGCTAAATCTAATCGTTACTTTTCCGTTATACGACACACTGATTGCTAGACGCAATTTTATCGACTATAACTTTTTTGTGCTTAATCCAATACAAATAAATTTATAGCATTCGAAAGCCCTCGATAAGTTATTTTAAGGGTATTTTAAGGGTAGGTCTATTGACTACAAATCACTAGCTAATTTCAAATTATATAATACTTTAATTTAAATTAAATAATAGAGTCAGGAATAAATTACCATAGACTTAAAACATAATTTAGTTGTTAATTTTTTGGAAGTTGGATATACCAACTAAATAAAGTTGTTAATTGACTAAATCCACTAATTAACTTCAAAAGTAAGTTGATAATAAGATAAAGCACTAAGTAACAAACTGAGCTTTAGCAGAATAGTACCAATAGAGATAGAATGCAGTTGTTTACTAATTTTTTATTAATATATTTTACATATTTTAATTACGATTAAATAATTGTATAAGAATAAGAACTACTGTTATGTGGAAGAAAGCAGTTTGTAATTTTTTGGATAATTCGTCATTGTTTAGTTTTGATTGTTGAATATATTCAACATCCAAAAAATTAAGCATCGACACGCTGGCTACTATCAAGACGATTCTTTGGGTTACATGGACATATAAATAAATACCAAATAATCTAATAATTGATATGGAAACCACAATTTATGGAAGGCAAGACGTATCGATAAAAATTTTAGTTTCCTCAACGCCCTTGACTTAATAACTAACTTCTCACACATGGATGCCCAAATCCTGGACCTAACCTAAGAACCAAACAATTCTTCTGTTAAATTTCGAACCGTGAAAATTTACCAACTATCAATAAAAATTTTACAAAATTTTTGCTTAAGTACGTAAGGCGAAACACGATTCTAGGGGCTTAACAATTTAAATCAATTGTAATCTGGACGAATCCTGAAAAGATAGTAGTTAATAATTCAAAAATGTTGAAATAAGAGTAGATTTAATTTCAACTGCGATATGTGTGTGTTTTGGGTCCCTGCTTCTTTATTTTTTGTAAGCCAAGCAATGCTTTGGCTATTCTTTCTTTCTTCTCTATTTTTATGACTTCAGTATCCTCAAACTCTGCATAATTGCATTGTTAACATTCAATATCATGCAGGTACACCCTAACAGCGTGTAACTGTTAAAATTGCTTAATATTTTTTAAGTAATTATTTTAATTCTATAGGTATATCGTTTCCTTGGATAATAGTTGTCATGAGTCGTAGTTCATTTCCTTTATTTTTTGGATGTTGGAACTTTTTCCAGCAAATAACAGAAATTAAACAAAATAAAATTCATTTTTTTCCAAGCCACTTTTTAATTTTTAATAATTTTTTAAAAATAACTTTTTCCCTTTTATCCTTTTTATTAGAGTTGGACAAAACGATACTGG